TTTCAGTTCCGGTCTCTCTGTCTGTCTCACTCGCTGAGCTTCTGGGGATTGTCCCGAAGCGGATGCGGAGGCCCCAGCCCAGGCACATGCCACAAACAACTCCGGCAGCCAAGCTGAGTGCACCAGGCTGGGCCAAATACTCCATAACCAAGGATTTGGAGAGCATCTTAAAGGAAAGGAAAAAGTTATTACTATCTAGCAGTGAAATTTATAGACTTATCAGATAAAACACCTTAACCGTAAGTATATAAGCAACATTTAAAACTATATGAGGTCATCCAGAAAAAAACGTCAAATATATTTTGGATCTTATGCATGTACTGTTTTTTCCTCCTCTGAACTAGAAAAGATTCAATACAGGTGAAACAGTTTAGGTCGTTTTGAATCGCAGTGTGAGGAATCTCTCTGTCCTGGGATACAACAAAGCTCTGTTCTTCAGTTTCCTACCTCTGGAGAAAGGAAATGTTCTGTTTTGCTAAGATGCCCCAAGGATCTAAGGAGCGAGGATTCGTCCCACTGGACATTATGGTTGAAAAACTATTAATACCCGAGACTAGAACACAACTTCCTTTTACGTATGATGAAGACAAAGGATTTTCTGCATAGTTTTAATATACACAGAATTTACCAGAAGTCTATCACATAAAACAAAGGCAGGTCATCCTTTATCATTTTTAGAAATTCTTGTTACTCCAGCAAACGTCTTTTTCATGGTATTTGAGTCACCAATAAAACTATCAGTCTACATTCGAAGCTGTTGGATTCATATGATTCTATGAATAGGCACAAGTCCTAGAAATATATATTTTATAGATTTATTTTTCCCATTTGTGTAAAAATTAGGAAGTATTTTTGAAATTATATGGTAGATTATACAGTATTAACAATTTTTTTAATATCAGGATAGTAATGGGAAGGGGGACGTTGAACTTTGATGTAATTCACATACTATAAAATTCAGCCTTTTAAAGTATACAATTCAGTGATTTTTAATATATCTACAAGATTGGGTAACAACCACCACCACTATCTAATTCCAGAACATTTTCACTGCCCCAAAAAGAAACCTCTGTACCCATTAGCAGTCATTTTCCACTTTCCCCTCCCCCAGCCCCTGGTAACCACTCATTTACTTTGTCTTTATGGATCTTCCTATTCGGGACATTCATATAAAGCAAACCACACAATATGAGGTACAATCAAAACCTACAGTGAATGTTTAAATAAAATGTATTACAGTAAAACACATTGCCATTAATCCCCCTCAAAATACTCCCTTGCTTTGAACACATCCCATCGACAGTTCTGAAAGTCCTCTTTCGTGTGTGTCTTTAGTTGTGCTGTCATGGCTGCCTCGATGTCTGAATTGATTCAAAATGTTTACCTTTCATGGTCACTTTCACTTTGGGGAAGAGCCAGTAGTCACACAGTGCCAGATCCAGTGAATGAGGACACACCGTAATGTTTTTATGTGACAAACTGCGGTACCAGAAGCGATGTGTGACACAGAGCGCTGTCATGGAGGATTGAAGTAAAGACACTCACGAAAGAGGACTTCCAGAACCGCTTCAAAAGTAGCAAGAACAATGGGATAAGTGTGTTCAAAGCAAGGGAGAGTATTTTGAGGGGAATTAATGGCAATGTGTCTTTTACTGTAATAAGTTTTTTTATTTAAATATTCACTGTATTGTTGGATCACACCACCTCATATGTATATCATTTTAGAGGTCAGAAGATAAGCCTAGCCTAGAAATACAGACTTAAGAGACCTTAACATACAACTGAGGTTACTGAAGTGATGAAAGTGGATGAGGCCACTGGGGAAAGTATGTAGTGTAAAGAAAGGGCTAAAACAGAATCCTGAGGAAAACAAACATTTAAGGTTCAAAGGAGAGTGACATGGAATGGCCAGAGGTAAAAGGGTCACATATGGTGAGCTGTCAGCACCTAGTTTCAGTCCTCATTAACTAGTGTGCCTAATATGGTGACAGGGAGATACAGACACATAGGACTTGATAGCTTTAGATGCCTTTGCAGCCAGGAAAAAAATTATAATGTATCTATCGTTTAGTTACTACATGATGCTTACGTATCAGCAGGATTTCCCTGGTAATCTAACAATCAAACTCCAAATAATATTGAATTATATTAAAAAGTACTAACCTTTATGTCAATAATTAGAAGGACTCTGAACTAATTTCTAGGTTGCAAAGTAACCAAATATTTCATATACTAAATTCAGGTACTATCTAGAGAAGGGAACTATTATATATAGAGAGGACCTATTATGTGTTGGATAATATGCTAAAGCCTTTACTTCCATTATTGTTGCTATGAAAATGAAAGGAAGATATTAGCCTCATTTTAAAGATAAGAAAAATAAGAATCAGAGAAGCTGCTTATCCACAGTAACATACTAATAAGAGCAGTAAAAAATATACTCAATCTAAAGGTCATAATGGAAAGCTTCTCATCTTTGAAACTTTAAAAACAGGTAAGCAGAAAAAGTTCCGGAAATTACCAAGTTTATCATTTCTTTCCCATATCTCATGAGGTCTCTAATTCTAAAATGTTAAAATTAATACTAACATCTTTGTTCTTTAGGATGTTCTCATCTTACATCAGCCTGATCAGATTATCATATAACTCCACTAAATAGTGTTTCAGCATGTCCCCTTTCCTGCATATCTACTATAAACATACCAATAAACCCAGTGCTTGAAACTAAGGTAAAAATAACTATTCTCAGTCTCACAGATAATACTGGGCAATGAAGGCACTGCAAAATAAGTATGTCCTGTAAAACCGTCCTCTTAGTGCCTTCTAATTCCTCTGCCAGACTAAACCCCTTTCACCATAAACCCCTTTCAGCAATGCTCTTGCATCCCATTCATGAATCCCACTCCACAGGCTACTGCCCCTTGGCCTTTTCCAACCCAAAAAATCCTTTCCTCTTGGACCTTAAACCACTGTCTCATTTTTCCTCTTCCATTTAACTCTAACCTTCAATTACCTTCCTCCCTTCCCCACTGAAATTGCTAAGGAACCAGACACTTGCTTATTGCCAAATGTAGATGCCTCCTTTTAAGCCTCATCTAGAGTTTTCTGCACCATTCACCGATCCCTTTCCTTTAAACTTTCCTCCCTTGAATTCTTTAACCCAGTTTTCACACCATTACCACCCCACCTTTCTGAATAGCTGTTTTCCAGTTTCCTTCTCTGGCTCTATGTCCTCTGTTTTCCCCCAATGTATTCTTAGCTCACACATTTGGTTCTCTTTTCAGTCTACAACTACATTGTTCAATATAGTAGCCATTAGCCAAATGCACTTAAACTTAAACTAATTGAAACTAAATAGAAAGTCATTTCTTCAGTTACACTTAGCCACATTTCAAGTTCTCAATAGCTCAACAACTTTACAGTGGCTAGGGGCCACTCTACCAGACAGAGACAGAACATTTCCATGACCACGGAAAGTTCTACTGGACAGTGCTGGTTCATATACTCCTTCCATTCAATTACTATTTACTGAGGGCCTATTGTGCACCAGGCACTGTTCTGGACCCTGGATATAGAGCACTGAACAAAACAAAATCCCACTCTTCATGGAGTTAACATTCTAGTAGGAGGAGACAGACAACAATTTGTCAGATGAACAATCTCACTTATCCCCATATCATCACATGCTGAGGACTACTAAAGCCTCTCTTGGTCTCCAAACTTGAATGTCTTGCTTCTGCTAGATTTTACCACTTAGATGTCTATGAAGTCCTCTAACCTGTGTCCTAAACTGAAGTCAGAATCTTCCCTTCCCTCTCAAACTCCTTTTTTCTGTCTTCATTTATGACTAACCCTGGATTTTTCGTTGTCCTACCACATCCAGTCACCTACACTTGTTAAATTAATCTCTTAAACCATATCCTTATCTCTACTACCAGTGCCCTAATTATCTCTTGACCAAAAACCTCCAAAATTAACTTCACTACCTCTAATCTTGCCACATTTGCTTCACTCTTACTCTGGTTCATCGTAGTCCATCGGCCCTTATTATACTCCTAAAACACAAATCTGATTCTGTAATTGCCCTGCTCAAAAATCACTGGGTAAACGCCCAAAGAATAAAACATAAACCCCTTTGCACGGATTTACAGCACTACACAATTTGGTTACAGCCTACTTGATCCTTCTAACCTATTTTCCTGCTATATTCTGTACTATCCAGCCACACCAAATTACTACGTTCTTTCAAGTAGCAATCTTTCCCTGAAATTATTTTTTATTTTTCTCCACTTAAACACACAAACAAAAACATCCTCATCACCCGTGAAGGCCTAGTTCAAATGACCCCTCCCTCTGGTCTTGACCACCCCCCACTCTGTTCTCCAGAGCGGCTGTCACACACATAACTACCGCAGATCATAGTCTCAGCGTCCAGTACAGTGCCTGGGATATAATATTAAAGAAAGACTTTTCTAGGCATCATGTCGGTATGACACAGGGGTACCAAATTTTCGATCATACTCTTAGAAACCTTTTCTTTCCTCGTAGGACTCAACTTGGTACGCTATGTATTCAATAAATACTCAGCCGAGTGTGAGCCTGCTCGGTATTTTCTCACATTCGGAGTAGGCACATCGATGCTGCATGACTGGAGGACTTGTCTGGGAACTAAAAATTCTGGGTCCTTCCCCTCCCCAGCATCTTGGTCCCTTCTTCCAAAAGAACGACTGGCAGAACAGGAAGAGTGGCTCCAGTGGCCAGTGGACCGAAGACAATTTACGAAGAAGATGAAGGGTGGGGTGGGGTTACGGAATGAGGTGGGAAGAAGCAGTCCCACTGGAGAGAGGATGGAGAACGACATCCCCCTCCTTCGCCCTGGAAGGGGCCGACCTACCTAGAGCACCTCTCCGCCTCACTCGCGTCTTCGCGTTCTTCGCTTCTGAGTACCCAGCACGCTTCTGTCGCGGCAGTTACCTTTTCCGGGATCCCTTCACAACAAGTTCCGGATCAAGAACTGCGTAGAGAACAGTCATTCTTCCTCTCTGCCCCGCCTACAGGTCCGGAACCGAAATCCCGCGACGATCGGCCAAGGTTGCCGAAAGCAGGTGGGAACGTTTCTCTTTTGGAGGCGGTCTCCTGGGGGACACGGACCGGAAGTGACGGAAGCGAGTTCCGGTTGGCCGGAGCCCAGCGGCGGGTGTGAGAGTCGGTCTGGAGCCGCTTCCAGGAGCCTGAGATCCGGAGAAGCCCGGGTCAGAGCGGGTAAGTAAACGAGCGCGGGGAAGTGGGGACGGAATCCTGAGACTGTCCTCGAAGCTTGGCTTCTTCCGGAGCTCTCCCACTTAGACCGTGCAGATCTGGGGCACCGTGATTTCGACTTCAAGCTGTGTTTTAGGGTACTGCTGACTCTGGATGTCTCAGTCAGGCGGTAGCCGGGTTATTTGGGACATCTCCCCGTGGTGGGCCACCGATACGTTGAACCCATACACTGGCCTCCCGACCTTTTGCTCTCAGCGCCGCGGATTTGGAAGCCGTTTTAAGCCTTTGTAGAGTACCCATCTCCTCTTTTTTGCCTCGGGTGTTTCGGACCTTAGAGTAAATGGAGATCGTCCCAGCTGATGACCAAGCTGTTTCTCAAGATCTGTCAGTTTGGGTTCTTGCCTTACCCAGCCACTAGCGCATGACGCTAAATATATCCGCTTCTAAACAAAATTCAGGCGTGCAAGTTCCATGTAAAGCGTTGGTGGCCAAGGAAATGGGGCCTTCGTACCGTAGATTTCTTGCAGAGGACTTTCACGAAGAATAGGTTTCTCTGCCTTTTCCAAATCCCTGACCCCTCCATTCCCTGTACGAGTATTGCATTATAGTGGAGGTATTTGCAATAAAACATGAAGGTCGGCTTAATCTCTAAAATTCCAAGAACCCATATGTGGCCCTGTATCACACTGCTAAGATTACTTATGACCTCCAGTAGGTTTTACACTATTATCTTGTTTTTCTGCATTTCCATTGAAAAATCTTATAACATATAGGTTCTAGCTCCATTTACCTGTCTTGGCAGCGTATCTCCTTTTCCTTACTTTTAGTTCTCCTTTGGGCCTTGTCAGAAATTTTGTAGATAAATTGCACTGATCTTTTGGAGAAGCTTGTACAGGTGTTTCTAATGTTGAAGTGATAGAAAATTTAAAATCTGATTGCTACTACCTATTAATTGTATTATCATTAGTTCTGATTTTAGTTGTATATTCTTTGCTGTATGTTTCAATAAATGATGATATTAAGAAACTTATTTACTAGGCAACATTTTATGTGTTCTAGATTATGTTTTTATTGACCTTTAGAAGAGGGTTGGTGGTACCCAGACAAATGTGACCAATTTGTGTAGATGTGAAATGACTCTATAGTAGAAATATTTTATGTTCTATTTCTTTGCATGTATTATTTTAAAACACTGAAGCATTTTACTTTCTTCTGAGGGATATATTCTACTTAGTTAATACACTTTAATTTCTGTGACTCACATTCCAAAATAACCAAGTTTCTGAACTACTTCATAAATAAATGGTTTAATGCCTTTTAGCAGTTTACCTATAGCTAGTTTAATCAGGTTATTGTTTAGTTTACGTAGTATTCTTATTTTTGGTTTAGAAAAATTTTTCACACTTGTCTGAAATGAGGTGACAAATTTCTTTTTTAAATGACTTTTTTTTTATATTGGGAAACAGTGTTTTTCCAGGACCCATCAGCTCCAAGTCAAGTAGCTGTTTCAATCTAGTTATGGAGGACACAGCTCAGCGGCCCATGTGGGGATCAAACTGGCAACCTTGGTGTTGTGAGCACTGCGCTCTAACCAACTGAGCCAGCCGTTTGCCCCTGACAAAATTTTTGAGATGTGGAATTTTTAAGTTAGATTTTATCATTGGTTCTTAACATCTGGTACATTTGCATATTGACTTTATAACTACCAAACCTGATCTTACATTTTATATTCTTTTGTTCAATTCAGTTATCCAGGGATTGATTATCCAAATTTTCTGTTTTCCAACTTCTTCCTGCTTTTGGCTTGAATTACCACTTTTTAGGATTGCAGAAGATCATCAGACTTTAAATCAGACCTGGACTGAAGTCTGGGCTCCAACACTTATTGAGTGAAGGTTGGCAGGTTACCTAGCTTTCTGAGCTGATTTGGATTGGGCTGATAACAGTACTGCTTATTACTTTACTTCATAGGATTGTCACAATGATTAAGTGAGATAGGAAATGTGAAATCACTATATAAATGAAAATATGGTGATGTTGTCATTTTACTCTAAAAATTGGACATGTGTCAGTGCAGAATACTGTTACTTTGCATCATTTCAAAATGTGATGTTTTATATTAAGTGTATTGTTTTCCTGAAAATATTATCACACACTTTTCTGAGATGATCTTTGTCCTACGTAATATTACGTAATCTTTTGAACGTAATAAAAGCTAGCCAGGAGTAGTTTGATACTGTAATTCACTGAGTTAGTCACCTTGGTTAATAAGTAGGTGACTGGAAAATGATTATAGCTTTGCTTTGGGGGATTTTTAACTCTGATCTCTTTTGGTCATCATGTATTGTCACTTAAGAATTTTCAAGTGCAGAGGTAGCTGAAGTTTTTGGTGTTATATAGTTAACTAAGAGGTTAGAAGCAGCCTTACTTATATTAAGAAACTTGATCATTTCACTGAAACCTACGGAACGCAATATTTAGAATTAGAAGTAGGCGGAGTGGCTCAGTTGGTTAAGAGCTCACTCAAGAGTGTGAGCTCTGAGCAACAGTGGTTCTATTCCCGGCCCGAGCTGAGTTGCCGCTGAGCTGCCAATAGGTGGCAGGATGGCTCAGTTAAAAAAGAAAAAAAAAAGCTAGAATTAGAAGCAACCTCTGTGAACATATAGTTAGATTCTTCTCATTTAACTGAGGAGAAAATTGGGACCCAGGAACAATTAGTAATTGGTTTGCCTGAGGTCATATGGCTTAAGTAGTGCCAGAACCTGAATTGGAAATGAGATCCCAAGTATTCTTTCTGTTCTCCTAAGGTTGTTTCCAGCATCTTTATATGGTTTGGTAATATCTCCTGGTTTGCATGAAAATGGTTTCTCTTATATATTAAAGGGCTCTATCTGTATGTGTGTATACACTTTTTCCCTCGATCTGATTTAATCTTGTAAATTCTATGAAACCAAAAACACTGTGCTTGGCAAGATTTGCAGTGGACTGTAATAAGGAAAGAAAAAAAAAAGAAAATTAGTTCTATTCAGAACAGTTATTCTGAGTTCATGCTTCATTACTATCAGGTATCGAGGTGTCTTCTTTCTAGCAAGTGGAAAAGACAGAGGATCTTTGTAACACATGTCTCTACTGAGTGAATGTTGTTGCTAATGAGTAGGAGGAAGCTGTATTCTTCGCTCCTGCTAAAAAATTTCCCCAACCTGTTTGTAATTTTAATATTCTGTTATGTTAATTATCTCTTAATCTATAGAGGCTTTTCTCTATTTCATTCTGGGTAAATAGCCACTATAGAAGAGTTAATTCTTTGTCTTGCTGGGAACTCTTGCCTACATTGATTTCATAAAACCTCTTTAGCCCCGCCCCTTTCTTGGAGATTATAGTGCCAAGTAATTTATTATCACTGCTGTCTTGCCCAAGTGCTCTTTGTTGGTTCCTCCTCCCCCTCCTTCCCCGCCCCCTCCCTCTCCCTCTTCTCCTCCCTCCCTCCCCCTTTTTCCCTCCCCCCCAACACACATACTTCCTCCCTCAGTCTCCTGACTAAACTCAGGCTCAAACTATATGAATTGAAATGATAACTTGTTTTTTGTGTTAGTTAATAATCTGCTTTCACAAAGACTTACAGTTATTTTGGGGATAAACTTTTAAAGAGTTTATTGCTTCAAGAAACTCCTTATTTTGTCTGGGAAAGCAACTTTGTGTAGAGTTTGCTGACCTGATATCATGTATTATGTAAACCCTTAGGTAAAGCTCATTTAAAAATATTATGCTCCTCGAAGGTTTTGGAAATTTGAACAGGTGATACTTTTCTGTGTCAGATAAAACATGATACTTAACACTTCAGGCATTTTTTCAATTAAGCAGGGGGCTACCTATTGAGTAATCCTATCTCAGCTGGTCTACCTGTAATTGCCAAGGAGTTTGTCAGTAGTATTCCAGAAATATGTGTCTTTTTCAGTAGTTCTTTGTGGTGTTTTCTCTTTTTCTTGAAGTTCTTCAATAATAATAACCTTAGTCTTTATAGATATTTCTGAAAGACTTAGGTAGATAGTGATAAGAGCCAGGACTATGAAACTAGATTGCCTTGGTTCAAATTCCAGCTCTACCACTGTGCTAACCTTGGGCTAGTTACTTAACCTCTTGCTATCTCAATTTTCCTCCTTGACAATGGAGTCAGTACCTTTATTGTTAGGGTTAAATGAATAGATTTAAGTAAAGCATTTAGATAGTGCCTGGCATATACAATAGTTAACCATGATTATTATCATCATCATGTGCCCTCCTGAGCAGTTGCTAAAATCTCTTTCCCTACCCTCTTTTGAAAGCATGTCTTTATGTTGCTGCTTACTTGATTATTGTTTTCTCATTATTAATGAAGTTTCAGTAAATAATTGTATTGATATACACAATTTTATTTTGTGAATATTTTACACGTGGGGTTCTTAATGATATGAGGCATTCCTGTAGGCCATTTTCTCAGCCTTTTTGTATTGTTAACAGTTTACATTGTAGGGGTTCAGAATGAGTCACTCTCTGATGTGCCTTTGTGAGCTGCGGATTATTTTGAGCTAAAGGCAACAGACCCTGCAGGCTCAAGAGAAACTTCTGCCTGTCTCCCCTTAACTACCTTGCCCATAATAGGAGATTATCAGAAATAACTTCTTTGGGCCTATCTGTGTGGCAGGGCAAACTGCTAATCCCTAACATCTGCTCTTCTTATTGTCCTGCAGTGACACTCTGAAGCCCCAATGTGCCTAACTTCATCCTAAACTCAGAATTTTATATATACCTCACTTTCCCTTTCTGTCTCAGAAACTCTCATGTATGCAGGGTCTCTGACTCTCTAATATGTGTCGGGTTCCGTGCCTGTGAAATTAAATTAGATTTTCTCTCGTCAGTCATGTTGATTTGATTATTCAATCAGCCAAAAAGAACCATGGCTTATCTGTGTAAGCCATAACACAGAATTTGAGAATTGAAATTCGGGAATTTGATATTTAGTGATG